CCGATCGCATGGAGATGGCCGCCAGCTCCTTCTCGAGCACGATCACCATAGGCAGCGTGTTGGGCTGAATCACGTCGCGTAGCAGCTTCCACGCCTTCGGTCCGGAGTCGTCCAGCTCCACTAGGTCCTTAATGTGCTAGAACATGTCGTTGTTCACCGATTGAAGGATGAGGTCAAACAGCACCGCGCTCTTCTCAATCCACCGATCGCGTGCATCGCCTTCCTCCGGCATTTTCTCCTCTCCCATCGCAAGTTTCAGCAGCTTGTAGCGCTTGAAGACGCTCCTCATCCGCCCACTCCATTCCTCATAATTGGAGCCATCCAAAGCTTCGATCTTGGATGGTGGCGGTTCACTCCTCTTCTCAGCTGCTTCTCCACTCATCTCCTCTGCTCCCAATCACAGGTTTCAGCTCCCCCTTTTGCTGGTCACAATGTAGATCCACACAATCTTCACAAGTGTCGGCGCCAACAAAATTTCGGCAGAGTTTCCCCTTAGCGGAAGTCACTCCCAACCTCCAGAACTCCACTTAGGCACGCCCACAAACCATGGTGGGTCTAAGACGGTCTTCACAATACAGTAGACTCCCCACAAAGTCCTTAATCAGCTCTGATACCACTTGTTAGAGACTAAGGACGGAGTCTATGAAGATTAGGAGCCGAAATATATCAAAATCGTTGGTCTCAATTTCTGGACAGAAACCGCGACTTCACAAGAAATGTCGTCGACGAAAATTGCACCGTTAGAATCGTCTCAAACTCAAGTATGGTTTAGCCCTAAACCGTGGCTATCATTCCCAATCTGAATGGTGTCAAAAGACGGAGTAAATCTCGAGTTATGATTTTCGGCGCACTAGGGGGTATGCTGCCACAGAAGTTTAACTCAATCACAATTAACTCACAAGTTCCACAAGAAGCACACAAGAGAATTGGAGTAGAAATAAATCAGGGAGGAGGGAAGAGGAGGACGAGAGGGAAGGTCCCAAGGGAGTCCCCAACCAAGGAAACCCCTTACCTCACAATTCCCATCCCCATGGCAACCCCACTTTTGCTTTTGTCACTTTCCCAACTCATGCCATCCACCTCAACCCAACTTGGCCACACTTGCCAACCTGGTTTGGCTTCTCCCAACCACTTGGCAGCATCTACAGTGATGGGTTCGAATTTCCCAACCCCCAAAAGTCTGTACCCCTTATGGAATCAACCCCACAACTTTCCATGGTCGCCACAACCAAACTTCAAAAGCATACGAACTTCAAACGTTCGTAACTTTCTTGGTCGTGCTCCGATCGCGACGATTCTTGGTTCGTCGGAAAGCTCTTGAGCAGGGGAGTCATTTCAGATATCTGCTCAAGCAAGATAACATTCACACACACTCAGAAAATCCAAACCATACCAAGCACAAATTCCTTGCACGCGCTCACGCCACGCATGCAATGCACGAACACATGATGGTAGGTAGACAGATGTGAATGCAAATGGTTGCATCACACAACAGTTGCGAGCCAAATCCGCGTTGTGTCATGTGTCGGGGTCGTGCATCCAACGGCCTCGCAACAATTTTTTAGTATAGCGATGAAACTCCTAGCATCAGTTCCCTTCGCGCTCGAATCGAACGCCTCTGGTAGCCTCGGACGAGCAGCTTCGAGATGCGTACTAAACTGGCTACTAGCAACCTTCATTTGACACTAAAACGCTCTCCTCGAGGTGCTTTAGGGCTGCTCCATACCTATATGCACTAATCTTACGAATACCACCGTGCTGGTTTTGACTTGTGCAGAGTTTCCTCAGCGGGTGGAGGTGGGAGTCTGACACGATTCTGAACCCGTACCTTGCGGTGTTGCCCGATGTGATGCACCAAGCAGATTTGGGCATTTTCGAGCACATTGTAGACTTCATCCGATTGCATGTGAAGCTGCTCGCAGATAGGAAGAAACTAGACAGAATTCTTAGGTACTACAAGAAGAACATAAGGGGGGGGAACATGCAGTTGTCCGCAGGCCAGTACTTTGAAAAGGGGGCAAACTACCAGGCCTACGAGCACCGTTCTGTCATGCAGATACTCCCCTTCATTGTGAAGGGATTCATCACATAGGCGCAGATGGACGCACTCGTCTCGTACATCGAGTGGTACCTGGAGTGCGCGCAGCCATCGGAGCACACCGAGACCACCCCACTAGAGTTCAAGACCGCCTTCCCACACACTTAGGACTGGAACTTCATAAAAATGCACCTAATAAGTCACTACATAGACTCCTTTCGTAGGTCGGGGTTGCCCGAGCATTACTCGGCGCAATTGTACGAGCACCTGCACAAAGAGTACATAAAAAACCTGTACAGGGCGTCCAATAAAAGGTCAGTCAATAGCCAGATCGTGGGCAGCGAGGAGGCGCGTCTGCGTCTCCAATTCATCGCTCCACAGCTCGAGAAGTATGACACTGCCATGGTGAAGGTACGTTATACTTGAAACTTTAGACTACTATAACATGTAGATCCCTCATTGCATATGCATTACAGATTGACCAACCGTTGCATTTGCAGGCCCAAAGGACAGGCGAGCGAGTTATGTCCAAGAGGAGTTGGACATTACCCGTGCCTGACGCGGATAACGCAGCCCCGTACCCTCAGGTCCCGGACGCGAAGGGTGATGGCCCGTTGCAGGCTGAAATCGGCGAGGACTTGAAGCACTTGCGATCAGCGTTGGATAGGGCACCAGACTGCGACGGCAACGGGGAAGATATAAAAGAAGTACATGTACGTAAGCCATCTAACACTGTCGTAGCAAACCATGCTAGTCATTAACAATCTGACAATTTCCGGTTGTTGTACCAATGCAGGTCCATTGGGAACTCGCCATGCCAGCCGCGGTTGATGCACAATATAGCCGCTTGCCACATCGCATCCGCGCCCTGCCCATGCATCACGGTCGGCAATGGTTTTCTGATGTGGCAGTAAAGGGCGAGGGCTCTGACAGGGACGAGGAGTGGTTTGCAAAGACACTGCTGTTGTTTCACGGAAACGTCGGGGGCACAACAAAGAACTATGCATTTATCAGGTACTACAAGGAGCAGGCCAGGGTTGATGCAGCTACCAAGTGCAAGGTATTGCACTGGGAGTCTACACACCAGAGGTATCGAGTGATTAGTATTAATAGTATCAAGCGAGCTATTCAGTTGGTGCGGCCAGACAAAAACGCTGACAAGTGGCTGGTTAATAGGTTTGCATGGTGACTCTCCAACCAGTGGTCATGTTGACAGATGCCTTGTTTGCATCATTTGCCAAGACGATTGTATAATAAGCCCTTCAAGGGTTTGTTGTAAGTATTTATTAGCACACACCAAACCAGCGTTTACAGACGCAACGCTCCGTTATTGAGTCGCCGTCGTTGCAAGGACAGTGGCCTCATGCGACCGACGACTGCAACGGATGTACTGACATCGAACCACACTGTGTCACGCACTTGCGCTGCCGGCGGTGCCGCGCTGGATCGTTCCAACGCAGGTGTGGTTTAGCGGAAGTCATGGGTTGGGTATCGTGGTGATACAGCAAGGCGCTGGTTCACCTGATGCAATGTATCACGTGATGCGCTGGCAGCACTTCACGCAACTTTGCGAGGCATCTGGATGTTTCCAAACATTTTCGACCATTCCTTTGTACAATGCGTGTCGCACACGTGGAACATCAAGGCATCTTCTGCACAGCTGTGCTTGGCAAAGACTCCAGGCGCCATGATATTGCAGACGGTGTGACTGTAGGGCACGAGATGGAAAAAAAAACCCCCGATCGTCTTGACCGCGTCATCGCGCGGTTCACGTGCTGTGCGGGCTTTTGTCATGACGGATAGTTTATTTCATTCCTTCGTAATTTACTACTCCTTTCATGTTTTTTTCACGGTTTTTTCGGGAAATCATTCAGTGTCGAACCCATTACATTAATAAGGGTGCTTGATTTGCATTACGAAAGAGTGAGTTATTTATATTCAATGTCTCTTGCAATGTGAGTCCGTATTTGGAAACGCGACAATCTAGGTTCACTCCTCTAAATTGCTGTCGTTTCCGCCATCATCAAGTCTTTGTTAAGTATATTACTTTGCGAAGGTGGAATAAGAAGGTATTGCTCGTACGGAACCATCCACAGTCGTGTAGCATGGAAGCCACTACCATGCTAAATAGATTGTAAAAATTGTGAGCTTCACCACAATTACTCCATGCGATACTCTAAAGTTATCGTGAACCATCGATCACCACATCACAATGACAGCAAGCGCGGGAAACTTCTCTTGGGCAGGCAACAGCAAAAGAGTTACAGCCGATGCAGCTGGGGTCACCTTACTGTCAGAATCCCAGTCACTAACCACTGGGATAAAAGGGCTTGTTTGTGTAGCGGGTGAGTGCGCCCATAACCCCCCAGGCCAACATGCCTGTAACCCTTCCCTAGGATCATCGGGGATCTCCAGTGGACCTCTGACACCCCCCCGCACTGGGATGCCCGAGGTGCACACACCGGGATTCGAACCCGAGACCTTCGCTCTGATACCATGTCAGAATCCCAGCCACTAACCACTGGGATAAAAGGGCTTGTTTGTGTAGCGGGTGAGTGCGCCCATAACCCCCCAGGCCAACATGCCTGTAACCCTTCCCTAGGATCATCGGGGATCTCCAGTGGACCTCTGACACTTACCTTACCCTCTTTCCAACCTCAATCTTCTAGATCCCTCAGCTCTATCTCAGCTCGACGATGATGTTCTTACGCAGGAGATCAAGAGGCGTAAACTGCTAGCTGCAAGCAGGAAAGCAGGTGTCAACACCTTGCACGGTGTTTAGGAACCTCCTCAGGCGGCGCCTCCAGTCCGTCGGGGAGGCCGGCAGAGCAAACGTGGCGGAGCAGGGCGCGGGCGTGCCAACTCTTCGAATGGCAACATTCCCGCTGGCGCCGCCTCCGCTGCCGCTGATTCCGCCGGCGAACCCTCCCCTGCCGGTACTGGAACCCTGGTCTCGCCTACAATGGAACGCGCATCTGAGGATCTCAGTAACGCACCAGAAGCCACTCCTCTCGCTGGCGGCGTATGCTTACGCGAATGTGAAGCCACTTCTCTCGCTGGCGGCGACCCCTACAGTGCACGTGAGGCCGCTCCTCTCGCTGGCGGCGACCCCTGCAGTGCACGTGAGGCCGCTCCTCTCGCTGGCGGCGTAGGCTGCAGTGCACGTGAGGCCGCTCCTCTCGCTGGCGGCGTAGGCTGCAGTGCACGTGAGGCCGCTCCTCTCGCTGGCGACATAGGCTGCAGTGCACGTGAGGCCACTCCTCTCGCTGGCGGCGTAGGCTGCAGTGCTCCAGAAGCCGCTAACCGAGCTCTCCCTGCACCCTCATCTGCTGCCGTGGTGTTCGCTCCGGGTCCGATGATGACAGCAGTCATGGAGGCCGCTGAGGAGGGAGGCGCGATTCCGTTTGGCGATTTCGGCATAGAGGCAGGTAGTGATGACGACGAGATCAACGACGACGAGGCGGATGATGCTGTCGGTGCTCAAGCGGGAACTGATGCAGAGTTGCGCAAAGCGCAGGTTCGCGCAGCGAAGTTGTGCGCATCGGAGATGCGCGCAGCGGAGCTTCGCGCTGTGGAGCTTCACGCATCGGAGGTGTGCGCAGCAGAGGCGCGGGCAGCGGAGTTGCGCTCAGACGCGTTGCGCGCAGCGGAGCTTCGCCAACCGGATAAGGCGACACCCACCGGTCCTGAGAATGAGATGGCAGCACCCGCAAGGCATGAACGGTCGCAAGGTAACGATGCACTTTAACCCCTGATCATTTCGTGCAATCCTTGCGAATCTCTTCAAACCTCTCGAACCCCCCGCCCGCCCTCGCCCCTTCCCTCCCTTCGTGTTATCTTCAAGAGCATTCCGTGTAGCTGTTTGCATGTAAACTTGTTCGCTGCATCGGTACCGTTGTTTTAGTACCTCCCTAATTTTAACTCTTTGTTGTCAATACCTTTGTCGGTGCGTGTTATCCCCCCTACGAGTCTTTTAGTTGCTGGTGCGCACCATTTCAGGGAATCTCGACAACTGGAAGCGCGGCTTCGTGACCTCCAGAACACGGTGTCTGTGCTTCAAGCTCAGCTGTAGGAGGCAAGGACCAAGATCAAGACGGCGGAGGCTGAGCGTGACCCTCTGAATGCACAGCTGGAGTCGATGCAGCGAGAGCTTTCCGCGGAAGTCGCTGGAACGAGCGCGGACGTGGATGCGGTTCGGGACCCCTCTGACCCACATGTTCGAATGGAAAACATTCGTAAGGACGTTGCGGGCAACCCGATCATTCCTTCATCGCTCAGCAGCGATGATGCGTTCAATGTGAGTATAAGTACTCTCGATGTGATTTTGGTAGAATGTATTTTATGCTGTGATCTTGCTCTGTTGAAGCTGCTCTTGTTTCTTGAATCCCGCTCCCTACCTTCCCCCCTGCTCCCGCCCTCGTCCCCTCCCCCTCTGCCCTCTGTTGTTCTTTTCATTGTGCATTCCATGATATTGTGTAAAGCAGGTCCGGTGCCTCAATGTATTCCTCCTTCTTGTCTGCTTCTTTGTGTTGATTGTCAGGACATGGTGGGTAAAACATTCGCATGGCTCATCACCCTTGCCCCTTCAGGACAGATGGAGTTCTATCCACTGTGGGAAGAATTCCAGCCGCATTTGGTGCGCAAGTACATAGCTGAGGGGACCACGCAAGATGAGTACTACCTCTTCATGGGTGGGAACAGCAAGCGCATCGAACGGGCTCTGAAGGTGATTGGCTGCAAACATGCGAACATGAACAAGCCGATCAAGCTGTGGGCGTGGGGTGCTAGTGGCGTCATTGACCAGGATAAGTGGTTCCTCTTGAAGGTTGGTGGCATCACTCCAACAAAGGTGCGAAATGAGGAGTGGGTGGAGCAGTTCAAACACCGTGAGTGTGCTTGTTCCTCCTTGTTTCCGCACCATGCTGGAAGGTTCTTGCACACAGATCTGATTGCCATTCTTTTTAGTCCTGCAGCGAAGTATGGCTACGACTGGCACTGCTCTGCTCAGGGCCGCCCGTTCGCGAATGCGGCCTTTGAGCTGGCGGTCAAGAAGGCATTCGTCAGTGCCCGGTGCAACATCTTCGCACTGATGATTCCGGCGATCGGCTATCTGTGCAACGTGGTAAGATGTCACTCGTGTTTTTTTATCCTTTATGTATCCCCCGCATATTTTTCTTAACCCAGGTGTTCACATTGGTGGCAGGTTGAATGGCAATTGGAGAATCACAAGGGCAAGAAGTGCCATGCATCTCTGGACAACAACGAGACCAACAACCGCAACAACGTCCATGCCAAGACGAGGGTGGTTGCGCATGGCTGAAGGAAACCCTCGAAAGGGAGCCTGCCACGTTCAAGAATGATGAGCCCATGGGGTTTGAGATGGGCGAAGGAAAAGTTAGGATTTTGGTAGAGGGGTATGAGTTGTTTTTCTTCCCCTCTGGGGTCGTTCCAACCCCTTGGCCTCCTATTAACTGTTGGGCTGAGAAAAGCCCTTAGGATCTTTTGCAGGGGTAAATTCGGGGTAGGATAATTGTAATAGCGGAAGCGTTTAATAAAGAAGTTGTGAACCACCTTGCGCTGATATGTGAGGGCAAAGTAAGTTGATTAAAGCAAAGAGATACAAGCATTTATATATGAGTACAAGGAATATGAAAGGATACGGTTATAACTACTTTACTATTGCTGTTGCGGTTCGATACAGTGACGACTCGGGCAACTGCTCTGTAGCGAGTCAGTTGTGTGTCCTTGCTGTCACAGCTGACTTGACTTTCGCGTAACCCCCAGCAACCTCTTTCAACCTCCGAGGGTTGACTCGCGTGTGCCTCAACATGGTTCGCTTCGCTTCTGGTGCGATGTTTCGACACGACAGAGGCGCTTAAGATTTACTGTTTCCAACACTCCCCTTCGCTTCTGGAGTGTCACAGCTGACATGACGTGGCTTTGTCCAGTCAGCAGCATGCAATACTCAAACTTCTGCTTTCCGAGCTTCTTGGTCAAATAGTCGGCTGCCATCTCGGACGTGGGACAGTATGACAGCTCGAGTCTTCCCTTCTCGATCTCGTCCTTTACGAAGAAATAGCGTAGGGCGATGTGTTTCGTCCTGTTCGCGAAGCCGCTTTTGTTGGCGATGCGAATTGCCGACTGGTTGTCGCAGAACAGGGTGAAGTTGGGTAACTCGGCTAATTTCGCTTCTTCCAGCAGCTCGCGAAGGTAAAGTCCTTCTTTGGTGGCTGAGCAGAGTGCAATGTATTCTGCTTCAGCTGATGAGAGTGCGATTAACTCCTGCTTGCTCGACTGCCAGGAGATAGGACCGATAGGTTCGAGGCGGTAGATGTAGCCGGTGCGCGAGCGTCTGTTGTCTGAGTCACCAGCATGATCTGCGTCGACGTAGCCGATTAACTTAGTCGATCGTGGTAGGTTAGCCCGATCGTTGGGGTGCTGACGAGGTAGTGAAGAGCGCGGTCGAGCTCTGCTAGGTGCTCTGCTTCGGGTCTTTTGAGGTAGGTGGCGAGTTGGCTTGCGGAGTAGGATAGGTCTGGGCGACAGGTGACGGCTGCGAAGAGAAGGCATCCCAGCTTTCTCTGGTAGTCGCGAATGCCGGCAGGCTTGAGTAGAGCGGATTCACCCTTGTTGTTTCCTGTCGTGTAGCGATATGGTGTGGAGATGGCGGTTGGTGCAAGAGCGAAACGCTTGGCGATGGTGTCGGCGTATTTCGCGGCACTGAGGTAGATCGCGTTGTCTTCTTCTCGGATGTTGAGCCCAAGGTACTGTGTGACGGTAGACGAAACCGTAAGCGTGAGGTCTTGCTGCAGCTCCCCTTCGAACCAGGTGGTGATGCTGTCGGACGAGCCGATGTAGAGGAGGTCGTCTACATAGAAGATAAGTAGAATGTAGTCGGTGTTCTTTGTAAGTCGGTACATGCCCTGATCGTGCGGCAGTTGTTTGAAGCCGATGCGGACGAGGCGAGCGTGTAGATACTGTTGCCACAGTCGCGGAGCCTGTTTGATGCCGTAGAGCGATTTGAGCAGCTGGCAGACGTGTGTGGAGTCCGTGCTGGAGCCGTGTGGTAGCTCCACAAAAATCTCTGCGTCGACAGGTGCGTAGAGACTTGCGTTCGCAACGTCGATTTGTCTCAGCTTCTTCTTCTTCATGGCGGCGATTGCGAGGAGAATTCGCAGTGAGGTGTGTCGACTGACAGGTGCAAATGTTTTGGTGAAGTCGCGTCCATGCTCTTTTTCGGTCGAAGCCGCGCACGACCCGTCTGCTTTCGTTTTTACGCGGAAGGCCCATTTTCCGGTGAGGATAGTTTTGTTCCGTGCTACGCTGATGGGGACGACTTTCCACGTGTTGCGCTCTTCTAATGCTTTCAGCTCCCTGTCCATGGCTTCGCGCCATTTTTCCCTATGCTCCCCCCCCAGAGCCTGTTGAACCGTCGCAGGCTCCTTAGGAATGGCGGTGCCGTGGACTGCGGTGACGAGCCCAAGTATCTGGAGTCCACTCTGTGTGTAGCGAGGGAGTGTGGTGTCCTCGGGATAAACTGCTTCGTCTCCCGCTTCAGGTGCTGGATTGAAATTTGGTCCTACGCGTTCTGCTTCGTTGGTGTTGACCCGTGCAGGTGTAACGTAACCGTTGTCGGCGAAATCGTAGAAGACGTCGGCGTTGATGCTTTCGCGAGGATTTTCGTCGTCCATTGGGATATCTATTGAGCAGTAAGGGAGAGGTCCGGCTGCTTCCGAGGCTCCCTCCACGTTCTGCTCGTCCCAGTCAGCTTCGTCTTCTGCCGAGGCGAAGGCTCGGTTCCCAAGAAATCCGCCCGAGAGGTCAGGTCTGTTTTCTTCGACGTACATGAGGTGAGTTCCGAGGGTGAGGTTCTCGTAGAAGATAACGTCACGTGCTGCTACTGTTTCCTTGCTGTTGATGTCGAAAATTTTCCATGCGTTGTAATGCTTTTCGATGCCCAGGTGTAGTCCCCACTGTGCGCGTTGAGAGAATCGCCCAGCTCGTGCAGATGGAGGTCGGTACTGTACCATGCAGCCGAAAACCCGTAACATTTTTGTGCTGCCCAATTTCCCTGTCCACAGCAGATGCGGTGATGCATTGTTCGGGAGCGATGATGACGAAAGCAAGTTGTGCAGCATCACGGCGTGGTCCATTGCTTCGGGCCACTGGTGGTTGGGCAGGTGCATGCCACGTAGCAGCTTGCGCATGGTGGCTTGGAGCGTCCTGTTCATCCGTTCTGCTACACCTTGCTGTTGGTGGGCGTAGGGTAGAGAGATGAGTCATTTGATGCCTCTTTCTGCCAAGTACTGCTTGAACCTCTGTGAGGTGTATTCTCCTCCCCCGTCTGACTGGAAGCTTTTTAGCTTGACGCCCGATTCTCTTTCTGCTACGGGGAGCCACGCGACGAAGGCTTCGAAGGCCATGTCTCTGCTTGGAAGGTTGAGATGCCACACGTAGCGTGTCGCGGCGTCGATGAACGTGATGGTGTAACTGTAGGCGTTTTGTCCGGGTTCACGGTTGTATAATATGTCGCTGTACACCTTTTCCAGAGGTGTGTACGCAGGTGCGCTTGGATTGTGATGCGAGACGAACGGCTGATGCGGTAAGTCAGCTTCAGGGCAGGTGAAGCACGTTCCACGGGCTCGCTGAAGTTCTCTGCCGTCGGTCAGTAGGAGTGAGTCTTTGTCGAGCACTCCTGCTCTTATCGTGTTGTTTAACACTGTGTTGCTTGGATGTCCCATTCTTGCG